GACTACGAGCGCTACGTGCAGCCGGCGCGCGGGGGCGGGGCAGGACCGGGGCGCCGGGCCTCCGCCTTCGTCTCCCGCCTCTGCCCCTACCTCGCATTCCAGGGCCGGGGGCTGCTGCTGCCTCCAGCTGCATCTTCCTGCAACCCCGGCTCTGGTGCGTCTTGCCCGCTTCATACCGCCCCTTCCGCCCCCGCGCCACCTGCGAGGGCTGCTTGGCCACCTTCAAAGAAGACAGACTTCACTTTCCACTGGGGTTCAGGCGACCCCTCTGCAAGGACCGAGTTTCCCACCTTGAGTCGCTGGATAAACTAGTACCCCAAGGCCCAGCGCAAAGGCTGCTTCTGGGAAGCCTCCTCTGACTCCCAGTCTTAGTCACCCTCCTCAGGGCACCCTGTGCTCTGTTTTCTGGTCCAGGCTTGTCTCCCCCCAAGATCCAGGAAAGAACCAGCGCACTGCCTGGCACGGGCTGGGCGGCCACACACATGCCATCAGTGGTTGACTGAATGAGTGACTACAGACGGTCCAAAGTGGAGGCCTGTCCCCTCCTCAGACTGATGTCTGAGCTTCCCTTTGGGTCCCAGGCACTGATCTGGGGACTCCTGTGTGCCCTGCCACCTTCTTTACGTGGCCGTGTTTGGCCACACTGCAAGCCCAGGACCTCTGGTCACCGGCCTTTGCTCAAGCTGTTCCTTTTGTCTGGTGCATGCTCCAGCCCCAAGTGCAAACCTGACCTTTCTGAGGCCCACCTCTGCAGGAGAAGCCTGCCTGATAGTTGGGGCTTTGTGGTTATCTGTGCACCTGACTTTTTGTGCCAGACACTTCTCCTATAACGTGGCATTATTCCCTCACTGAAGCCTACAAGGAAGCCAGGGACATTCTGCTAGTAGCTGACCTGGGATTTGAGCTTGGTTCTAGAAAGACATCAAACGTTAAACATCAAAGACTGGTCGAGTGGCCGTACTTTCTCAGGCCTCCCCCTGGGAACGACTGCTCCTCAAACCTCTCCCCATCTCCCTGCTCCTTTCCCCTTGCAGACCCGAGCAGGGTGGGGCTGAGATTCTTGCTCCAGGGCTAGGTCAGTCTGTATCCCCAGTGGCTTTGGGCCTCCTTGAAGAATTTCAAGAGAGGATGTGCAGGGCCCGAGGAGAGGTGAGGTGGGAGCCGCAGGAATGTGGGGCTCTGGGAGGGAGAGCAGCGAAGGTGGGGAGGCCTGAGAAATGTCTTTCCCAGGGCCCAGGCCGCAGGGGCCAGTTTGAATGACAAAGGTTCCCTGGAGAGCAAAGGAAAGCTGTAGAGGGTGGGAATGTGGGAGGAGGAGGGTCAGAAGGGCGGGGAGGAAGCTGCCGTGGGCTCCCATCTGCAGAAGCCCTTTCAAGTCCTGCTAAACCGTTAACAATAAGAGGAACTGACCAGTGGACACAACGGGCAAAGGACGATTAACGTAGTTCACTGAAGAAATACAAAAACCTTATGAAAACGTTAGAAATCGCAAAGTACAATTGAAAAGGAGATTCTGTTTTTCCCTATCCTTAGAATCGGTCCAGAGAATAGGAGCGAAAGTACCAGATGTGAGGGAGGAGTGGGCACTAAGCGACTTTCTCATTGCGGGGGCAGTAACTCATCCAGCCTTTCCGCAGGACCCTGTCACAGTACGTACAAAAGCTTTGAGAGAGCTACGCTTTGATTTAGCAATTCTATTTCTGTGATGTTTCCTAAAATCAGCTATTTATGTCAGTCGCACATGTAACTGACAAAAATTGGAGATTCCCTAACTCTTCCATGAGAGGGAATCGGGTAGGGTGTATCCTTTCCACAGATGGACGGCTGGGCAGAAATGCAGTTTTGCTCCTGAGGGATGTTAGCGATGTGGGGAAACCCTCAAGCTGGTAAGTGAAAAGAGGAAGTTATAAAACAGCAGGACTCCGATTTTATACAATGTCTACATAAATATGCACAGAATCTACCAGTTGTAATGCCCAACTGGGTGCTGGAACTTGACCCAATCTCTGGTCACAGCAGCCCCGTGAAGGAGTTTCTAACAACTTTATGGAAAACAAAACAAAACAAAACAACCTGCAAGGAAATTCACCCAAACGTTAGCAGCAAAGTGAGAGGGTGTGTGTTTTTACTTTTCTTCATTCTAGCTTCTAATCTTATCCTAGTTTTCTTTCATAAGAAATAAGGGCTAGATGGTAGCCCGGTGGTTAGGGTGGCTGGATCTCATGTGAGCGACTGCACGATTCAAGTTCTGGATCTGGTGGCTTGAAAAACACGCTGGGCACATGTGCGTGTGTGCCTAAAATCCTGAGAGAGAAGAATGGAGAAGGCGGGTTTGTGGAATGGTCATGCCCCTTGGGTGGTTCTGTCTCACTTCTTCTCACTGTCTCCCTCTGGCTAGTAGACGTGCCATATAGCAAATCACAATAAATAAATAAATAAATAACATCAGAAATTTTGAAACCACAAAAATCACTTGTTTGAAAAGTTCTTCAAGAGCCCCAGTTTTTGGGGGTGGGTAGCAGTTCTCTCGGGCTCGTTTACTGGGGCTATTGAAACCATGTGTGGTGAGCTGGCGGGCTAAAACACCCAGGTGTTGTCTCACAGCTTGGGGGGCTACCCATCTGAAATCAGGTGTCAGGGCCGGTCCCTTCCCAGGGCTGTGAGAGAGGGATCCTTCCGGGCTCCTCTTCCAGCTTCTAATGGCCTCCCATGTTCTTTTGTCTTGTTTCTTCTTGTTCTCTTCATATCTTCTTTCCTTTATTATGTCTGTTTTGTGTCTAAACGCCCCCTTTTTTTAATGAGAACATCAGTCATGTTGGATTAGAGCCTGCCCTACCAACCTCATTTTAATATGTTCACCACTGGAAAAATCCTGTCTCCAAATAAGGTTAGAAGAGTTAGGACTTTGACTTATGAATGGGGGGCACTTAATTCACCCCCTAATACCATTGAACCCAGTGTACTCCCTCTGAAATGAGCATGGCAGGGAGGTGGGGTGGGGGAGCCCTTTACAGGGGTGATAATCTATGTTGCTGGGCATTCTGGAGCCCCCTGGCCTTGGGCCACTGTGAGACCTTGGGGAGAGCACCTAGAGTCTTTGGGCTGGACTTTTCTTCTTTGTATACGGGGCTTAGCTGTGGGGTGGCAGTGAGTGAGGTGATAGGTAAAGAGTACCTTTTATGCACCTGGCCCAGGGGAAGGCACATAAAGCTGCATGCAAATTCTCATTTGTCCCTAGCTATAGGGCCCCTGTGAGCCTGTTTTCCTCATTTGCAAAATGGGGAAATGATTTAATCCCATTGAATTATTGAAGTTTATCATCCCTGAGACACCACAGAAGGACATGAGCTGAGACCAGCAAGGAGGCAGAGGCAAGACTGGGAGAGCCGCGAGGGTGAGGATGCTGAAGAAGACATGAGGCAACTGAAAGCGTCGCCTTGATGAGTCTGACTTAGGTGCCAACTCCTTTAGGAAGTTCCCCTGGAACCTCACAGTCTGGACTCAAGGAATAAATGAACCTAAACAAACAAACAAACAAAAGATACAGGAAAGAGGAGAGGAATCGTGGAGTGAGTGACTCACGCACAGCCACCATCAATAAATCAGAACGACTCAGTAAACCCCAGGCTGGGCCAGTCCCTTTCTCCCTTGTCCCCTATCCTGGGCTCTCACCATCCCCTCTGCTGCCTTCTGAGATGGCATTGCCACACTCTGCCCAAACTTTCTCTCTAGAGCTTGAGAAGGCTCTTTGAAGGAAGATGCCTGTTAAAATAGCAAATATGAATGAAAATAGTAAAACCCAAGGCCGGGAGTATTTCAGAAAACCATACACTCGCATAGTAGTGATGTGAATCAACACACTCTT